TGCGCTCCCCAAGGTTCCGTTCCCTCCCTCCCAGCTGCTGACATGGGTGCCATGAAGTCTCCCAGGCAGTCCCCCTTCATGCAGCCTCCTCTAGGCAGGGAGCAGCCCTTGGTCTAGGAGAGCTTTGTGCCCTGCCCCCAGCCTCCCCCTGCCCCTGCCCCCACCCACGGTGCTGCTGTCAGCAGGGGGCTGGGGAGCAAAAGGAAGTAGCTGTGTCCCCAACCCCCACATCTCACAGCAGCCCCCCCTTCTTCCCCATCACTGTCCAGGACAATAAAAAAGAGGAAGCAGAGAAGCTAAATCTGCTGCAAGTGCAGAACTGCACGAGGCTGTTCCTATTGTGCAATGCCAGGATGTGCTGCCTGGTCAGCAGTGTCCTGGATCTGAAACAGCTCTCGTACAGCTTCCACCCCCGGCCTGGGACGGGCACCGGGCCAGGGCTCCTGCTAACATAACCTGGAATTGTGTAGGACAGCTCCACTGCCTGGCAACTCGTGCATCATGGACAGTATCCCTGGGTGCAGAACGGGTGCAAAATCTATTTATCCATCCAATCCAATAGACACGGTCCATTCCCACTCACCCCACTCATCCATCCCCACACCCCAACCCATCCATCCATCCATCCCCACTCACCCATCCATCCACCCATCCCACCCATACACAGCTATCTAGCCATCCATCCCTACACCTTGACCCATCCATCCATCCATCCGTCCCCACTCACCCCATCCTTCCAGCCATCTATCCATCTGTCTCTACGATAACTCAATACACAGCATAGGAAAGTGATTATTCACTTTTATTTAGCTTTGGTGAGGCCACATCTGGAGTATCGCGTCCACGCACCCATTACAGAAAGGATGTGGATGAATTGGAAAGAGTCCAGCAGGGGAAAATAAAAATGATTAGTGGGCTGGAGCACTTGACTTATGAGGAGACATTGAGGGATTTGGGTTTGTTTAGTCTGCAGAAGAGAAGAGTGAGGGGGGATTTGAGAGCAGCCTTCAACTTCCCAAGGGAAGGTTCCAAAAAGGCTGGAGAGAGGCTGTTCACAGAGGTGGCAGGTGGCAGAACAAGGAGCAATGGGCTCAAGTTACAGCGGGGGAGGTCTAGGTTGGACATTAGGAAAAACTGTTTCCCTAGGAGGGTGGGGAAGCACTGGGCTGGGTTCCCTAGGGAGGGGGTGGAATCTCCATCCCTGGAGGTGTTTAAGTCTCTGCTTCTTTGGCTGGGTTGATTTAGTTGGGATGGATCCTGCTTTGGGCAGGGGGCTGGACTCAATCTTCGGAGGTCTCTTCCAGCTCCAGGATTCTACGATTCTGTACATCCTCATCCATCTCCATCTCCACACAGATCTGGCCATCCATATCTAGCTATCCCTAGACAGTCCCCCTACAGCCCCCCGACTCTCCCGCACACTGGTGCAATCCCCTCAGTGCTGCAGTATCCGAGCCCCAGACAGAAACATCTGAAAACGCTCCCGAGAGAAGCCTGGAATTGTCATCTTGGCTCTGCCCAGCACCCCCAGCCGTGAGCAGTGGAGACACCAGCTCCCAGCCAGCATGTCTCCATTCCCACTGCGCAGCTGAGCACTAGGCAGTTTCAGACGTAGGGCCCAGTCCTGACCAACCCTTGTTTTCACAGGTGGGGGGAGGGGGCTGCAGGATCAGGGCCAGCTGATAAGGGGCGAGCTGATAGCAGGGAATGGCTGTGCACTCTCCCACTCGGGCAGCCCGCAGTGTTACCTGCTCTCCCCAGCGCCATGTCTGCCTCCTGGACCGTGAGCGTCTCTTGGTCGGACTCTTCGTACTTTCGGTAAATGCTGCCCGAAGGCATCACGTGGAGCCTCTTCCCCCAGCTGCTCCTGCGGATCTTGTATCAACTGCGCCTCCGAGCAGCGTTTCTGGAGAAGGAAGCTGTGCAGAGCCGCCCTTCCTCTCCTCAGAACAATGAGATCATAGAATCCTAGAGCTGGAAGAGACCTCAGGAGTCATCAAGTCCAGCCCTCTACCAAGGCAGGACCAATCCCAACTCAATCAACCCAGCCAGGGCTTTGTCAAGCCGAGACTTAAAAACCTCTTCTAGGGATGGTTTTCCACCACCTCCCTAGGGAACCCATCCCAGTGCTTCCCCACCCTCCCAGGGAAATAGTTTTTCCTAATATCCAACCTAGACCTCCCCCACTGTAACTTGAGACCATTGTTCCTTGTTCTGCCATCCGTCACTACTGAGAACAGCCTGTCTTCCCTTCAGGAAGTTGAAGGCTGCTGTCAAATCCCCCCACTCTTCTCTTCTTCAGACTAAACAAACCCAAATCCCTCAGTGTCTCCTCATAGCTCATGTGCTCCAGCCCTCTAATAATTTTGGTTGCCCTCCACTGGACCCTCTCCAATGTGTCCACATCCTTTCTATAGAGGGGGGCCCAGAACTGGACACAATATTTCAGATGTGGCCTCACCAGAGCCGAATAAAGGGGAATAATCACTTCTCTAGATCTGCTGGTAATGCTCCTCCTCATGCAACCTAATATGCCATTAGCCTTCTTGGCTACAAGGGCTCACTGTTGACTCATATCCAGCTTCTCATCCACTGTAATCCCCAGGTCCTTTTCTGAAGAACTACTTAGCCATTCAGTCCCCAGCCTGTAACAATGCTTGGGATTCTTCCATCCCGAGTGCAGGACTTTACACTTGTCCTTGTTGAACCTCATCAGATTTCTTTTGGCCCAATCCTCTAACCTGTCTCGGTCACTCTGGACCCTATCCCTGCCCTCCAGCGTATCTACCTCTCCCCCTATCTTAGTGTCATCTGTGAACTTGCTGAGGGTGCAATCTATCCCCTCATCCAGGTCATTAATAATGATGTTGAACAAAACCAGCCCAAGAACCGATCCTTGGGGCACTCCGTCAATCTGACATCGAGCTGTTGATCACTACCTGACAGACTAGCCAGCTTTCTATCCACCTTACTGTCCATGTATCCAATTCATATTCCCTTAACTTGCTGGAAAGAGTATTGTGGGAGACTGTATCAAAAGCCTTGCTAAAGTCAAGGTATATCACATCTACTGATTTCCCCATATCCACAGAGCCAGTTACCTCATCATAGAGACAGGCTGTGTCCCTGCTGCCTTCGGCTAGCACCTCCCCCACCCCCATACAATCAGAGCTCGTGGCACAGCCGAAAAATAACAGCTCCACCGCCAGGGACCCCGTGGAACATCGTGCTGAGGGAATGTTTGACCCTGCCCAATGAGCTTCTCTTGTCCTAACAACTATTACCAATCGATCCGTCCGTACGTCCATCCATTTGCCTGCACTCCCATTCAGCCAGACATACCCAGAGACACTCACCCACACACCCTCATACACACCACACACTCCCAGAGACACCCATCTATCCCCCCCTAGAGATACCCACCAACCCATCCTCATACACACCACACACCCCCAGAGATACCCATACCAATCCTCATACACACCACACACCCCCAGAGACACCCTGTCATGGCTCCTTCCCCACTCTGGCATGATAAATGCAGAAGTGGGGGCCAGCACTGTACCCCAAAGCCTTATCTAACAGGCTTTGGTATAAAACTTTCCCCGAAATCTTAAAAACCTAGATCTTGGGAATAAAACTTCCGCTGCCACCACCCAAATATTGATAAAGAAATCAGGGGAAAGATCATTTGGGAAATCTCACCCCTAAAATAAAAATCAGGACACACAAGTAACCACTGCCAGTTTAATAAAAAGAAAAGAAAGAACTTTTATTATTACAACAATATTCCTGTGCAGGCATAATGACTAGATAGGAAGGTAACAAAATATACTCATGGAGAAACTCCATGGGCCTAGAACTTAGTTACAAAGAAAAGCCAAAACATCTTTTAAACAGTGCCAGACATCAGATCCCATAGCCAACCCTTAAAACAATAAAGCCTAACGAAACTACCTAAACTTTACCCTACTTACAGAAAATGAGGAATGGTGTCTTGGAGAGAGAGAGAAACATACTTGTCCCTCTCTGTAGCTGCAGAGAACTCCCCCAGAGAGACAAAAGGGAGAAAGAAAAAAACCCAAATTCCTTTGTCCCAGTTTGAAAGTCCCACCTACATTCCTACTGGTCACTCCATCTGGCTAGGTGTAGTTAACCCCTTAATCCCCAGGCTGCTGGCTAACCCTCATAATCATGACACACCCATCCACCCACCCCTAGGGACACCCACCCACCCATCCTCATACACACCACACACCCCCAGAGACACCTATTCACCCACCCCTAGAGACATCCATCCACCCACTCCCAGAGATACTCATCCACCCACTCACCCACCCCCAGAGGCATCCACCCATCCACCCTCAGAGACAGTCACCCACCCACCCAGATACGTTGTTACACTTTGTAGAACTAAAACCAGCAGAATCTTAGGGGAGACGGTGATGTGTCGTACTTATCGTGATGTCAGAATTCATTTCCAGTCCCTAGCTACTAAAGTTATCCACCCCACACACACTCATTCACACTCAGTTCTAGGGATGGGATACAATCACCAGCTGCTGTTGCTCACACTAGCCCATTGGCCAGGTGGTCTAGACCGGAGGAGGGGAGCGGGCTTGTGTCAGTGGCACTGATGCTGCCAGAGAACGACTGTAGAATCAAAAGACCCAGCTCTACAGTCTTGCACCCATCTTTGTGTACGATTCCTTACCCTGTCCCACTGCCCCAGGACACTGTCTGACCATGAGTCTTCGTGTCTTGATGGGGCCTTTGTCTCACTTTCTTGGGTGGGGTCTTTCGCAGGGCTCACCTGCATTGTTCTTCGGCGACTTGGCAGCAGGTCGCCCAGACAGGCTGGCTTCGGGGACTGATTCCGTCACACACACACACCCCACATTTACATTCACGCTTTCCATAGACACACACCAAGCTTTAAACAGAGTTAAGGCAGCACAGGGTTTGAAATGGAGTTTCAGTTACAAATGTAAAAAAAATACAAAAAAGTGACAACAGGAGATTCTCCAAGAGCAATTCTCAACAAACAGGTTACTAACAAATTAATCCAAATCCCATTTACAAAAACTGGGCCGCGGTTCATGCGGTTACCTAATGTCACATTGGTACACACAATTCATTAAGAGGGCAATTTCATTCATCAACCCTACACTGTACACCCACCATCTCATATACACCCATTCATCTCCACATACACCCCTCCAGCCTGCCAGCCATCCTGAGACAGCCATCCATCCATCTGTCCACCCCCGTGCACACCCATCCCTCCATCCCTGCATTCCAACCCTCCCACCTTCCATATAAATATCTATGCTCCTACATCCCCAACCAGCCTTATGCACTTCTATTCATCTCCATCCCCATGAGGCATTTGGGCTTATTTAGTCTGCAGAAGAGAAGAGTGAGGGGGGATTTGATAGCAGCCTTCAACTTCCTGAAGGGAGGTTCCAAAGAGGATGGAGAGAGGCTGTTCACAGTAGTGGTGGATGGCAGAACAAGGAGCAATGGTCTCAAGTTGCAATGGGGGAGGTCTAGGTTGGATATTATGAAAAACTATTTCCCTAGGAGGGTGGGGAAGCACTGGGATGGGTTACCTAGGGAGAGGGTGGACTCTCCATCCCTAGAGGTTTTTAAGTCTCTTCTTGACAAAGCCCTGGCTGGGTTGATTTAGTTGGGATTGGTCCTGTCTAGAGCAGGGGGCTGGACTCAATGACTCCTGAGGTCTCTTCCAGCTCTATGGTTCTATGATCCATCAATCCCCATGCACCTCTATGTCCATACACATTCAACCATCTACCCAATCCCTCCGCACCTATCCGCCCTGCCCGCACACACATCTACCTCGTACTTGTGTATGCATGACGTAACATTGTTTTCTTAAAATAGCCTATTCAAATCTCCAGGAGGGCTGGTGATACCCATTTATGCAGTTGATACACCTTTCATAGTCAGGTTTCCCTGTAGTTTGTGATGCTCTGGGAGGGGAAAACAAGGGAAACGTGACTGTAAAACTACAAAAACTGGCAGGACGACCCAGGGGAGGGGCAGCAGCTCATCTAATTAAAATCATAGTGGGATATTTTCAAAAGCACCTAAGGGGACGTCTGCAACCATAACAAAGCCCTATCAACTGACTCAGGCTTGTGAGACTCAGCCTGCGGTGCTAACAATGGCTGTGTAGATGTTCGGGTTTGGGTGGCAGCCTGGGGTTTGGGACTCTCCCCTTTACGGGGTTTCAGAGCTGGGCTCCAACCCAAGCCCAAAAGTCTACACTGTGATTTTTAGCCCCACAGCACAAGCCCTGCAAGTCCATTGACCCCTGTCTGAGACTCAGAGTGGTGGATTTTTATCTCAGAGTAGATGAACCCTACGTAATTTAGAGCCCTAAATCCCAGTTTCAAAGGCCCCTCGAGCTGCAAGGTCAGCTGTCCAGCTCAGTGACTGTAACAGGGACCTGTGTCTCAGGGCGCTCTGCTCTGACTCAAATTCTTAAGGAAGGGGATGAGGATTTGGATTCTGGTCCATGACCAGGGCTCCTCGGTGCTACTGAAATGGAACTAATAATGCTCTGTTCCTCAAGGCCCAGCTCTAATCTCCACACAGCTAACTCAAAAGCCCAGAGCACTCAGGTTGGAGACACTGACAGAGACAGAGGGGCTGGACACGTCTGAGAAGTGGGAGGAGAGGGGAGCCCAGCAGAGGGAGAGGAAAGGAAGAGCTCACCTGGCCAGCAAGTAAATGATTGGCATAGCTCAGCCTCCTTTCTCTTGACTGCTGTTTGAGTTTGGCTGTAGTCACACCCAGCTCAGCCTCCTTTCTCTTGACTGCTGGGCACTCAGGTTTTGCCCCAATGTCACTAAATTGGGTGAAAACTCGAGTTTGGCTGTAGTCACACCTGTGTGGCAGCGTTAGCTTCGGCAGAGTTATGTAAGCACCTTTCCACCATTACAAT